TAAGTCTGCTTTTGCGCGTACCCTAAGTCTATCACTTCTTTAAAAAAAATCAAGAGTCGGTAAAGACTTGAAAAGATTTGGTTCCGTAGAATGCAACGTGTATAGCACAGATCCAGTTTCTGCTTAGCTTTCTCCAAACTTTATTTACAGCCACGCTAAAATATCGTTAGCCATTGGTCATCTATAGGAAAAACAGTTGTTAAAAACACACAGGTTTAAAACATCATGTCTTTGTGAAAGCAATTTGCATGCTGGTCTGAGAGCATTCATGAACGCCTTATGAATGTTAGCTAGTTGTAATATTATGTATTCTGTGGTTAGGTGTAATAGTATAAGATCCGATGACTGCCAGACCTTACTTATTTTCTCATGGACAAAATATGGATAATCAAGTAGCACTAGTGTGTACAATGAACATATAAAACATATATACATACTGGCTAACTTGTGCTGTGGGGCAATTTTGTGGTATCAGGTGGCACAGGCACCTGAAAATTCTACTCACTTAAGTTACAGTCTGAGGGCTAATTCCAACGTATGTTGTAAAGTACATTGTAAATAATTTGAAATATATACTGCCAGTTACATTCTTTCAGCAGTTCTTATTGCCAGACACTTTTAATGTCAAAAGCAAAAAACACAAACCTTCTTACAGTCTGAGACCAGATATAATGTCTTATCGTTAATTCGTTATCAGCATTAGCAGTTTTTATAACATAATCAAAATTACTTTTGAAATGATTGTTTTGTTGTATTTTCAAATTCGCCTGATATCATATTTGACTTGATATCCTAATTAACATCGTACTGTAAAGAGAGCCCGCTCTTGTAACTTGCATGGAACATCTATAAAATATTAGTTGATTCAAATCTCATTGACAGTCGTAAATGTATATGTACTGCTGTTCGTATATATACTGCTGCTTAATATGCTTATTATTTTGCAATGCAACTGACGAGATGCTACTAACTAGTGTCCCCAGTCTCCCCTTTCTCCAAGCATAATACTTGGGAAAGTACTTTCTTGTATTTGCAAGATACCAAGTTACATTACATTTCCAGAGGAACTTGAACATGGCAAAGACGACAAGGCAATAAATGTACGTGCATACGGACGATGGAGTACACTATACTTATCTGCTAAGATTTTGTCTACTAAACTCATTATTTATTTTACTATTTCCATTTAGTCTATTGTCCGAAAACAATATTGTACTAAGTAAATCTAACATCAATCAAAACATACAAACCCTCACATAATGTGTCCATTTGAACGTTAACAGGACATCAATACTATGGCACTGTACGATAAAATGATTACTTAGGCAAAGTTAGATTTCTATTATTTTTCAAAAGAATAAGAGACAGATGTTCAAAATATCTCATAGAATCGTTTTTGAAGTCCTGAAGATATACTTTATAATTTACTTTTAAAAAAGGCTTTTTGAAAAAGAGTTTGGTCCTTTCTATATTTTTTTATTTTTTGCCAGTGTCAACACAAATATCATACATTGACTCCTGTAATAATTGGGTGGTCTTTTGTAAATATTTCTATATGAAAACTCTATCACGTTTACTATGTCAGTGCTGTTATCAACTTATAATCATTAGGCATACTTCTAGTTGGAACTAATCGGGAAGAGTTTTATATTGTTTATCAACTTAGAAAGGACATTAGGCAAAAAGGTATGGACGCTGCACCCACATCGGCCACAGCTTAAACTACATTTGTTTGAAAGGTATTATAGCCACGATCATTTGTGCCAAAGTGCGTCAAATTCCATCCTAGGGGTCTTTAGTTATTTTAAGTTAAATAGGTACAAGTACTATAACGAAAGAACATTTATGAAACAAGGGAATTAATTTAGTTAGTTAGTTAGGCCATACATATAGGGCTCAGGTGTCATGGGAGTACTTCACAAGGTGCAAGGGTGCCCCCTTATGTTATTCCGCCGAAAAAGGGTTGGGGTTTTTTCAAACAGTCTGTTCGTCAAAGTAAATTCTTCTATGTAAAACGGAGCGATCATAAATCACACAAAGTTGTCGACGCTTCGGAGAAAATATGATTTCGGTTCATCCATACTAATTAACAAAACCGATAATCGTGTTCCAATGTCCAAAGTGTTTTAGATAATAATCAATCAAGTGACAGGGAGCGCACAATCACAATGAAGTAAGACCAGTCGACTATATGCAACTGCAAGTCCTTCAACCCCCGTTAACCATTTTGTGGTTGCTCAGTAAGTGCTAGCGCAGGATAGTCGGCACGGTATGTCGTATATCTGGTTGTATAGTACGATATGGCATATTATTAGGGTAAGCATCAACAGCCTATTAATGTCCCCAATGCTGGGGCACAGGCCTTCCCTATGGATGGAATAGGGAGAATTAGGGTAATAATAATATAAAATAAAGGTACTATAAAATAAATTTATTTAACTTACTTAAATATGCCCATATGTCACATCTTTTGACTAACAGGATTTTTTTACGGTGTCATATCTTGTGACTACCGGGTGCTGGGTGTGTTTTGCCCATTGTCCTTTATATCAAACATTAAAGGTTACAAATCCATTGAATAAAATTGATAAGCTTAAAGAATCGATCTGCGAATACTGATAGATATGCAGTAAGTACTTATTGTACTCAGATAACAGAACACGCAAGTGTGGCCACCAAAGCAAATACATAGTCAAAAGCGAATACAAATTCGTGTTGGTACGTTACAACGCATCGTGTTGTGAAAACCAGGCTATAGGCTGTAATATAACCTATAGCCTTTATATGTTATACTATAACATCACGCTAGGACTAGTAGGATCAAAGCTTTGATGATTTTTTTCCAAAAACGGGTAAAAATAGTCAGTTTGTGAACTTCCGTAGCGTGCGCTGGGTAAACGGCTTAAGTTACACAAAAATCACGTATAACGGAATTGTTTCCCTTTAAAAGATCTATAAAAAAAATCCCCCACACCATATGTCCATCTTTTAAGTTTGACGCACTATAACCTTTTTCCTCAAATTAACGCGGGTGAAACCGCAGGGGAGCTCTAGTTGTGATATAACTGTAATAGTTAGTTACTGTAGTAACATATGGTATCGCGGCTTTTTTTGTAGATATTGATGTCCTCTATAAAACTTTAGTACATCACTTAGCTCTATTGTCAATGACTTCCGCAGCGTGCACGATATAAGGTTATTTTTTTGTATTTTTTCACACCCCAACTTTTTTGAAAATACTCTATAGCCTATGTTCATCAGGAATAATGTAGTCTAAATGTGAAACATTTTTGAAATCGTTGTAACAGTTTCGGAGCCTATTCAATACAAACAAACAATCAAATCTTTCTTCTTTATAATATAAGTATAGATTACTGAGTTTTCGTAACATTTTCAACAGATGGCACTACCTTTATTTTTTTACATACACAAACATAAACTCATTTTGCTGAACTGTTGTTGAATTTGCTCTGAACTAGAATTCTGTACCGTAAAAACCTAAGTCCCAAAGTCTGATTGTCCGCCTGACAGTGAATTGCATCTCATGAAACGTTATGGGAAACCCGTACCCCCTGAGGTTCGAGAAGTCTTAAGGCTCCAGACTGAGAGGAGACTCCCGCCGTGGGGAGATGCCATCCGACTGGAATATTTATAAAGGCACTCGCCAATTCTGGCTTGAGGTCCCCTTAGGATCTCGCCGTCCCCAAACCCGGTGACGCTGCATATCTCATCTGCGACCAACAGCGTATACAAAAAAAAAATATATAGAAATCCCGTAGTGATAAAATAAAAAGTGTATAAAAATGGATTAGATTCGGAATCATTCGCATGCGAATCCCAGTTTATATTTTTTATTTCACTTTAAATTTATAGGCCGAGTCTACAGAAAATAAAATATTTAGCAACACTTTTTTCACTAGGAAATATCCTTTTTTAAATATAGCTGGGTTATTAATAAATATATCAGCAAACTTCCTGCCGTCGTAAAAATAGAGTCTGGTAGTAGAAGGGTGAAAATTTTGGGATGTATGTATTTTTAATGCCACATTTAAAAAAATATAAAATGAAAAGAAAAATGTCCATAAAATTGAAAAAAAATGTTAGGGCTGGGCAACCCTTATCACTTAGGGGTATGAAAAATAGATAGTAGCCGATTCTCAGACCTACTGAATATGCATATAAAATTTCATTCAAATCGGTCAAGCCGTTTCGGATAAAAAAAAATCTGTTACATTTTTATCACCTACATAACTGTTGACGCTTTGCTTAGTTTTTGACAAAATGATCGACTCTTAAGCTGGGTACAGAATCAGATAGCGAGTCCCAGAGTACGCGAAGCCGACTACGCGTACCCTGGAACGCCATATGTATACTTGTAGCTACTTATCCACGAGTTGCTATGACTATGGTTAGCGCTAAGTCGGCTAACGTGCTATCCATACGCGGTTTTAAACATCTTAAAAGACATTAACTACGTATGCAAAGCTTGTCATAGAATCACTTTATATAGTCTTTCACTTCACGTAAACAGGATTGCAGGGGTTGATTCTGATTTGTTGGCTACACTTGTTTTGGCCACATCTTTGCGGAACACGCCATCCACTCTGTTGTCACCACACATGTTCAGATAGGTATTTTATAATATGCTATCGTATTCTTGCCGCATATGTATGATGATATGGTATGATTTCAGTAATATAGTGTATTAAATGATTTCACCCTTTTATATGTTAGTTTTTACTGTAATTAATTGTTCAATATAGTTGTTAGTCTTGTCAACCTTAGGCCCTGCCAGAATATCAGCGCCGCAACATCCCTGGCGTCGCTGTGGCACTATGCTGAGACAGGGTCCCTGTCTCAGCATAGTGCATTTTTTGTTATTGCTTTTGTTTTGTGTAGTCTTATTATTTAAGGCTACTAAAATTCTTTCTTTCTTTAAGGTTCTATTACTCAATCAGTTTTTTTTTTATCTCAACTCATTAAATAAAACACAGTTGAAACCCGTTTAAAAATTACTCTTTATTAGGTACCTAGTAGGTAAAGTCTGTCATAACATCTTTGTATATTAAAAAATCAATTTATTAAAGTTTTGTGTTCGATAAAATAACCTTTGATGAGCTAATCAAATTGCAGTTGTCTGAATGATCCATCAGTGCCAAACATTTCTTCCGCAGTCCTTGGCATTCCAGGTCTTTTAGATTCGTCAGTTCCGTACCGCCTATCTTCGTCAAGCCATGAACTGTAACCATTTACTCTGGCTTTCCAAATATCTATAAACATATAATATCAATTTAATAATCAATTGGTTCCTATTATGGCAACATTCCTGGGGCCCCGTAGTCAGTTCAATTGATAATTCATTGTATCGTGAACTTTGTCATAGTGTGTCTACTCTACAGCATTAAATCTATGTAAAATGGATGAGGATCAATACGATGAAGATTGCGATATACCTATAGTAACCTTTAAACTGTCTAGAAAATTGTTAATAATCAAGAGATTTGAATAACGATGTCTATGAGTGAGTTTTATTAACTTTGAAAGAGATTTATCTCCATTTAAAATTTCAAAGTTTGCACAGTTCATTCATTTATAAAATAACTTAGCTGATTTGTCTGCTGATTGATTTGTGAGCTGATAATTAAAGAATAATTTTAAAGACATTTTTTCTAGAAAAACGGATAACGGAAGATGCGGGTTCGAATCCCGTCTGAATTCTGGACCGAGTGGATTTTTAAACTAAAATTTCCTTTAGATTTAAACATCCAGCAGTAAAGTAATACATAAAAATATGATAAGGATAATAAATTTATTTACAAACCAATAATTTCTTGTATAGTGCCCCCGTAACCACCATATTCTTTTGGTAAAATTTCTTTCGGTATGTACTTATACATGTCTTCATAATTTCTATTGTGAACAAATATCTGCAAAATACAAACACACATTAAGTAAAGAAGACTGACAGACTGAGGACACTTAAACATTACGGGAGACTGTACTATGAGTAGAGACTGCAAAAGTGACTATTTATGATATTAGCTCAAATTTAAAGAACGGCGGATTTTTCACGCATTGAAGCGCCTGTCTAGAGACCTCCATCGTACTGACGACAGTAAAATAAAAATATATTTTGGTGTTCTTTTTTTATGTCGGTGAGTAAGGTACCAGGGCTCCACGGGGTAGGGGATTGGGTCAAGGCAGGCAACGGTGCAAGTGATATTTTTGGTATCGCAAGCGTCTTAGGCTATGCTGGCCACTGACGATTAGGCAGGCTTTAAGGTTGTTTGTCACCCTTTCAACATAAAAAAATGTGAGTAGTATAAAAAAAACCCGTATGCATAGGGAACTTAATATTTTCCCCTGTAGATTTTATAGGTCAGAGGAGCTGAATAAAATACGGAATCACAGTGACGAATGATACTTATATTCTGTGAAATATAATTTTACTAGGAAGCTGATACGACTGACTCCTAGCACAGCAGAATACAAAGTGAAGCAAGTTTATAAGTGAAGAGAATGCGTGAATGATCGAATGAGTGGTGGGTTGAACGAACGAATGAAGTATTTGAGTTAAGACTGAATTAACAAGAATACTTTGGCATTACCTAGTCATGTTACTTTCCTTTTATTACAAAATGAATCATCATCATCAGCCTATTAATGTCCCCACTGCTGGGGCACAGACCTTCCCTATGGAGGGAATAGGGAGATTGGGTCATGACCCACCACGCAGGCCCAGTGCGGATTGGTGGGTGCTAACGACTGCAGATGCAGCCGGGACCAACAGCTTAACGTGCCTTCCAAAGCACGGAGGAGCTCGAGATAGTAAATTTTTGGTCACCCATCCAATGACCGACCACTGCGAAAGTTGCTTAACTTCAACTATCGTAGGCGAACGCGCTAACCACTTGCGCCATCGAGCTCCTCGACAAAATGAATACAAATTATAAATATAAAATTCAACATTCCGTATGCTTACATTTTCTGCTGATGTGAATGAAATGGAAATAAATGAAACTAAGAAAGTAAAACAAAAGAGGGGGGATATTTGTTAAAATTATATTTTTGTTTGAACTTACTCGATTTCTGCTTTTCTCATTTAGCAATGCTTTTAGAGCATTCAAAAACATTTCGAACCCTGGCGGCACGTTGATGTAATGCGTGCCTTTCAGACGAAACGGATTAACATCCTGAAATCGAAGTTATAAATAAAATGTTATTTTGTATCGGAGTCTAAAGGAAGGCTAGCTCATAATAAAAGAAACGAATAAATATGTGTATAAGATATTCAGTTTGGTGATAATTCACAAAAAATATCTTATCCCAATAAAGTTGAGATTGATTTTGATTGATACAACAAGTTGTATTAAACATCTTTTTGAGATTAATTTTACTGCTACAAGTGGGAAAGGATTCCCTTCCGGCAGAGAAATTAATCTGATTGTCAAACTCATGATAGTTAAATAATTAGTTTTTATCACCTGTAATGATATCACCAATTTCTTCAACTGTATAGGAGTCATCTGAACAAAATGGCCCAAAGTAACCCCTTCTAGATCCAGGACAGCCCTGATTCCGGCAACCATAGCATTGTCATCTTCCATAATTAAGATCTGAAAAGGATGTTTTTTAAACAAGTATCTCTTTTTATAGTATGTTAAAATCATTTTTATTAAGACTAGTGGCCGGCCCTCGCTTCGCTTCGATGTAGAGCTGTAGTGTAGGAAGACTATAGTTTTTGTTTTAAGACTTATATATATATACACAATAAATTTCTTTATAAAATATCAGTAAAAAAATACTTAACAGATAGTGAAAATTTTGTTGCGTACTTTAGGACCCGTTGTACCGAATGCACATTTTTTTTGGTTGAACGCACAAATCTCAGGAACTAAAGGTTCGATTTGAAAAAAGTTGTTTGTATTACATAGTGCATTTATTGAGAAAGGCGTAAGACTATGCTATATAACATCACGCTGCGACTAGTAGGAGCGAATTATCGATGTAAAATGTTGCAAAAGCGGGTAAAAATATACCATTTGTGAGCTTCCGTAGCATGCGCTGCATATATGTAAAAATTAAGTTGTAACATCACTGTAATAGATAGACATATGGTATTGCGGACTTTTTGGTAGATATTGATGTCCTCTATAAAACTTTAGTACATCACTTTGCTCCACTGTCAATGACTTCCGCAGTGTGGGCGATAGAACACCCTAGGGTACGTTATCAAAGTATTCATACGGAACCCTAACTTTTTTGAAAATACTCTATAGCCTATGGTCGTCAGGGATAATGTAGGATTCTAAAAATATTCTTTTACTTTTAGATCGGTCCTTTTTTAAATCGGTCCAGTAGTTTTGGAACCTATTTAATACAAACAAACAAACAATCAAATCTCTCCTCTTTATAATATTAGTATAGACTATCTATCCCTTGCAAATAGATTTTAGCAGCCTAACCAAAACCTGAATTAATTATATCTTGATAAGAAATTAATAAAGGGATGTACTGTCGCTGACGCCAAGTCGCTTAATAATTTTAAACATAAATTAAAATTATGGCTCATTGACAGAACCTTTTATAGTGTCGATGAATTTTTAAATGATAGATCCTTACATTAATTGGACTGATTAATTATTTTTTTATAATATTGAATGACTATTAATTTATTAATTCATGTTTTTTTGTTTTATTATTTGTATTTGACATTTTGAATTTTTTCTAAGTAAAAATATTGTATTTTAATTGTTTTCACTCCGTAATGTACTTTTATATAATTTGAAATCTTGAATTAATTGAATGATTACTTAGTACTTTATGTATTTTCTGTTCTGTTTATTATTGACGTGTAATTTATTACGAAATAAATGATTATGATTACAATTAAGAAAGGATTGAGCTTTGGCGATAATTTCGTACGTTTGTTAAAGAATGTTTCGTTTCATAAATTGACAGATAAGGATAAATCGGACCGCGATTTGATACAGCATTGCAGCCAGGGAATTTAGTAAGAGACTAGAAAAATAGAGACGAGACGTAGGAAACAGAATATAACAGAGAAAATAGGGAACAGTGACTAAAAAAAGGGGAATTTTGAAGTGATGCAAAATATAATAAAAACTATGTGAACTTATTAATAAAACTATTACTTTGGATATGCCTTGGCCCGGGACAGTTTGAGCATAAAAGAATAAGAGAATTTATGTAAAAAGATACGAAAGCCAATTTTTCTCTTCAAGCAAGCAGCTTGCAGCGCCCGTCTGGGAAAGCAATCTCCCCCTTACAGAAGATTGCAGTAATCAATAGTAGGTAAATTGTTCACCAACGGAAAAAAGTTATCGATAACCAACAAGTTGGAAATTTTCTTTTTCCTACGAGGAAATAAATTTATAATTTAGATTGAATAATGCAATCTGTGTACTTTCAAATTTTTATCATTTTGCAGAGGTTATTTAAGATTTCATATCAATATCACCCAAAAAAAGGATATTAAAGAAAATGGTCCAAAGGATATTTTCATAGGTATTTTCTGTCCGCTCGTCCTCCTATTAGTATCATAATAAATGAAAAAAACGGAAAATGGTGGATTAAAAAGATGTTTACAACGCTAAACCCTTTGGAAAAATAATTCTAATGATTAGAATCTTGATATGAATTTCTCTTACTTACTTTTTCGCGGTTATTCAAAAAGAGAATACTGTGACGGTGAATATTCAAGGGGCAAATATTTTTCAAGAATAGTTAGACACCTTAGTTACCTTCTGTAAACTGTTCGATGCTGATATTATGTCAGACACGGTGTATTTGCCAGGATCATATCTACCAGGCCTTACTATGGCTACTCTCGGTTCTGTAGGTCCACTTAATTTTGGCAGTATTAAAACGCAACTGCAAACAAACAAATTATGTAGGATAATGCCATTGTCAGATAGTTCGGGTGGGCCGAGAGTGAAGCAAACTGTTTTATTTTGTAAAATTTAAAGTAGCCTTACTGAAATGTGAAATCGGGTGGATACAGTTAAGAAAGTATAGCTTCGGTTCGGAATCAAAATTAAGTCATTAAATATGCACTAACTTTTGTTGATTAGTAACTTCTTCTTCCATCATATTATACACACATCAAAAAAAGTTTGAGATCACTTGCAAAAGCTGATATATTTTCAAAATTTAACTCATCAAAGGAAAATATTTACGTTACATCTTTTTTTATTTAAAAATAAACTTTCTGAAATTAAAAAATAAACTAATTTTGTTTTTTAGTATAAAAAATTTAATAATTCAGTCGTAAGGCGATTGTAATAAAACATTGATAGAAATAAAAAGACAGTTTAACCCAACTTAAAAACCCTTTATTAATAAATTGTTGTGTATCTAATACAAAATAACTCCTCCTCTGGCTCGAACACATGCGAAGATCTCCTGGACATGCTGAGGATCAAGTTATCCAGCATTTCTTGTGGGAACCTGTCCCATTCTTGAACAGCAGCTTCCCTGAGCTGCCGCACTGTATGGGGTGGTGGCTGCCGATTCCAAACAGCTCGCTTAAGAGCATCCCACGCGTGCTCTATTGGGTTTAAGTCAGGAGAGCCGGCAGGCCAGCAGCATTTACTCGTTGAGCTCGATATGCGGACGCATTATCGTCAACCAGTACAAATTGGTGCCCACTCAGAAAGATCTGACGATTCCATCAATAGCGACTGTTTTGTATTTGTCTGCCGTCATGAAGCCTTGATAAGGGATTAAAGGCGTTCTAGCCCCAATTATAGTACCACCCCAAAAGGACACTGATTTCCCGCCTTGCTGAACCATTCCAGTGGCCGTTCTTTGCCTTTCAGAGTCTCCAGGTCTTCTCCAAACACGGACACGTCAGATATCTGGATGAATACTGATTCGCGATTCGTCAACGTAGAGGCAGTTACAAATGTTTTCCTCTTCGTCTTTTTCGTTTTGCCGGAGCCTAGCCCACTGTAATCTCCGTCGCTGACATTCCCGTGAATTCAAAGGTGCTCGCCAAGACCTCCGTGCTCGTAATTCAGCCTTGTGTAAGTAATTCCAAATGGTCTGAGTGCTAACTTCAAGTCCGGAGGCGGCCCGTATTTCTGCTTTTAATTTAGTGGCGTTTATTGTTGGGTCGCGGGCTACCAGCAACCTGATGTAGCGCTTCTGAGCAGCTGTCAAAACTGTTGGGCGACCGCTGCGGGGTCGATCAGCTAAATTACCCATGCCATGGTGTCTCTGCAACGTGGTAACTACACATGATTGGGACATGGCAACTGTGCGTGCTATATCTCTCGTAGAATAGCCTTCTTCCCTCAAAGTTACAATTCTGGCTCGTAAACCATCTGATAATCCTCGTGGCATTTTTTAAATCACAACTCTCCGCGAAAAAATATTTTAAATTCGATAATGTTGACTAAGTTTATTTCTGAATGAGTCTCGGCTTGAATTACATGTCTTTTTATATGGAAAAACAATTGAATTATTTTATTGTTTTACGTTCTAATTCTAATTTTAAAATTTAGAATCTTATTAGAAAAAGAAATTACAAAAAAGTCTTCTTTAACACAAAAAACAATCTATTGTTCAAAGTGATCGCAAAGTTTTTTTGGTGTGTGTATATATTTATAAATAAAAAAGATACTTACTTGATTTTGATTAAAATGGATATAAAAAAATCTTATGTTATTTTTTACTACGGCTAATAGATTCATAAAAACATACCTAGGTATTTTTATCTCAGTTACTCATATTCGGTTTGTAGTGTAAAAAATTACAAATTATATTTTAATGAATTTTTGTCTTTCGCAGATGAAATATTTCGCAGATGAAAAGTAATTCATTTTTTTAGATATACAGTATCGAATGAAAATAAATTCCTTTTTAATATTTCCGAACTGTTTTGTTCTGCGCTAATTTTTTCAGTGCTTCAACTTCTTTTGTCGTAAAAACTTGTACTTAAATAATTTCTTTACTTACCCTAAATCAATGATTTCCGTAAAAAGCGCATCTTTATGTGATATTCGGAAGAGATCTTTAGCTGTGTTTCTTACTGTATAGTGATAATCCAACTTCTCTTTGGCTCGCGTTAAACTATACTTGCATCCACGAAGAAACGCTACCAACCATTGGTCATCTGCAAATATGTTTACCACAAGTACATAACATGAAAATAGAATATATTTAGTCTGATAATAGGTCATAAGCAATTTTTTAAACCCCTAGGTGATAATGGATCACCCGCCTGTATGAGGTCAGGTGCTTCCGGGCATCCCCCTGACCGCAAGGAGAAGAAGGAACCCCACGAACCCCCTCCGGCAGGCGAGGAAGCACTGTCGGGTTTTAGTTGAATGAATGAATTTTTAGGTTAGGTAAAAAAAAAACTGCATTTCCGCCAAAAATCTTTTATGGCGGAGGGGTCGGGGGGAGCCCCCCCTCCCCCCCTCCTACAAATTACCCCGAAATTCAATTACATATAATGGAATTAAGTACCCCAATTTGAGATTTACTTTATTTTAGAATTGGCATCAAATAAAAAATCACCCTGCTGAAAATGTTTGGTTCAAATCCCATTTAAATAGCGATATTAGTAATTTTACATATATCTACAGATGGCGGCAAGAGTTTGCTGGGTTAGCTAAGTTACATTATAGTAATACATACCTGCTTACCCAGCGAAATTCGTATCGCCATAAAAAAGGGCACACGATAAAAAAAACATTAACTGTAAGATTGAGCAATATCGATATTGTCTAATTATCCGCATTTTTGCAAAAATCCGAGGATTCATGAAAATCCGATTCATCATATCATTGTGAGATATTATGTAGTGTCATTTATTACCTTCATGTTGTAAAAAAATATACTGCATAATTCTTACCGGTTCTAGCCCGTATGTGTGGTTGTTTCTCGAGCCACTTTTTAATATGTTCAATATCAGCCGCCATTCGTTTTGGATCTTCATTTAACTCTTCTACAGCCATCTTTGCTAAAGCTGACGGCAACTGTCGAACCGGCATATTGCCACTTATTTATTCTAACAATTTATACGTCAATTGTTTTTAAACGTGTATTATCATATATTTTACCTAGCTTCACCGGTCACTCATATCCATCGTTATCATAATACTTCTATCTGTATGGCTTATTTATTTTCAGTCGACTCGTCACTATCTTCTTTTATTTTTTTATTTTTTCTTTAGATTATAATTTCTTTTGTTTAAATGTGTCTTTTATTTGATAACGACATGAAAATATATCGTTAGTGCACTGAATTAATAAAAAACCGGCCAAGTGCGTGTCGTGCAACGCGCAGTGTAGGGTTCCGTAGTTGCTCGTCGTCACCACAATACATTTTGGAAAGACTCTATATTTTAAGCAATTACTTTGTCTGAGTCACGTTTAACATTTTCTTATTCTAATACACACGTTGAACAACTATTACCCTTAAACTAACAAATCTTTTGTAACCGTTATAACATTCTTCAAAATTTCATAAAAAGCACTATTATCATGAATTTTCCCAAGTTTTTTAAGCCAATAATTTAACTTTTAGAGGGGGGGGGGGGGACGCCCTACACGAACAAAAATTAGCACTTTAAAGTTCAATATTTCGCAAACGGATCCCGTAATCCAAAAATTGTGTTAGAAACCCTTGAGTAATTTTAAATGAGCTATTCAACAACACCCCACATGATGAGATAGACGAAGAAAAAATTAAATCATCTCCAGGTTATATGTAGGGCAGCTACCCTAAAAAAATATTTTTCTATTCTACTATTTTTTCGGCGTGGTCAATATACATATCTCCACAAAATTACAGCTCTCTAGTGCTAATTTTCAACTATATACAATAAAATATATAAAGGAGTTCGATGAGAATACTTTTTTATATGTGATTCCTGTTTTTCTATTAAGACGTGTTGACATGCACAAAGTGTGGTTTGACAAAGTAGATTTGTTTCATACCTACTTTTACGCTACTTTGATAGTGTAAAACAGTAATTACAGCACAGTCTGATGTTCGCATCCAATGAAAACGGAGCGTTAGACCGTACTCAATTTTTGTAATGCTACTTTGACAAAGTTGACTTTGAGAAATGCATTTTTGAGCAAATGTGTTAAAATTAATATTTACATGATAGTTACTTTTCAGAGTTATAATGCACTTACTTCATAATTTACAATAACTGTTCTTGATCGAACTCTTTGACTTTATAATTTCAAACTCATTTATTCAGTCTAGCCAAGCTCACAGCGGGAACCCTTGTACTGAGAAGAACCGGCAAGAAAGTCAACAAGGGCTTTTTTTCTCCCTGTTTTGTTTCATACAGTGTCGTCAATCGCAGGATAACATCAAAACCTGAGAATAAGTGTTGATTTCAACTTTCGTCACATTAATATTGTTAATTAACAATAAGTTATACCTACTGTTTTTAAATTTAAAAGTGCCAATTAAACAATTTTTAACCATATATATGGAGTAAAACTACTAAGTCTATATTAAGCTAAAGGTGCCTTATCATTTAAGAAATTTTTAACAGTATAATAACCCTTCTTAAGAAGACAAGTTTTGATACACAGTTAAAGTTATTAAAAGGTAAATTAATTATTTAATTTCGTATTTCATTATAGTAACATACTGTTGTCGATTCTGGCATAATTCTCTAAACCTAAACATTGTAACCCTGTCATTCTCTTTAGAGAATAAAAAAAAGGTAAATTTAAAAAATCAAAAAACCCGACTGCTTAATTTACTTCAAATAAAAACTGAAAAGAAAAAAACAAGTCCAGTAGTCTATAATTCTGTTAATAAGGAACAAAGCTACTTTAACAGTCGGGACCCATTAGATATTCAAGAATACATAATATTTTTCAACAGTGGGTGTAAAATGTATTTAAACATTTTGTTCGAGTGACATAGGCTATATTTTATCCCGATAAATAAATTTCGCCCGTACAATGCCCGGGTGGATCACTAGTAAGTATAATATAATATTATAGATGCGAAAATGAGTTTGTTTGTTGCGCTTCCGTGCCCTAATAGCTAAATCGAATATAATGAATTCCCATATAGAAGTAGATGGGAACTTGGTTCTTAGCTACAACATCGTAATACTTATAGGCGTAGGGTGATCAAAGGGGTGATTTACCTATAAAAATCTACATTATTTACTTTGAATTTTGCAGAATTATTACAAAACCAATATCATCGCGAGCTGATTAATAAATACAGGGATTCCAATAAGTATGTGCTTACTAGCGAAAAATGGGTTATTTGTCATTATATTAAGTAAACCTTTTTTGTAACATTAAGTAATATCGTTAAAAAAAATGAGAAACAGTAAAATTCTGAGTTTTTCATTAAAATTCAATAATCATAAATACCTATTATGATAATATATTTTTCATCGTTTAATAAGAAGGAACTGTATCACAGTTTTATTGTTAGTACTTCGTATAGGATCAGATACTGCGAATACCCCATTTTTTTTTCTTTTACATAGTACACCGCGCTATCACTTTGTCATCGTTGTAACTTTTTAAATATTTGTCGAAATGACATAGTGTAAAAAGCAAAGTTTATCATCTTTAAATATCAAAAGCGATAAAAGTATTTGTTTGGATAAAAAATGATTTGTTAATACAAAATGTGCACTTTGGAAATAGATATCAAATAATATTTTAGTTTTGATACACTATTTTAGCGGTAATAACTTACACATTAAAATTAGATATATGGTGTCACGGACTTTTTTTTAGAACTATTTAAGAGATACATTTTCACTCGACATTACATTCATGTAACTTTTATTGTTTTTGCAGTGCAGGCCAAAATGGCTCGCAGATGGGAGATTTTTTTTCGTCTTATGTGACACTTATTGTTATATTTTGGCCAATTCACTGAATAACTACATAAATTATTATATATATGTTATTTTCATATATGAGCTATATTACTGTTAAGTTTCATTAAAATCCATTCAGTATTTTTTAGGTGAAAGAGTAACAAAGATCCATACAAACGTAAGATTGAAATTAAAAGCGTAAGTGGTTAATATGCAACTTTAAAGCGTTGTAGATCTTAAACAATCATATAAAATGAAAAATGGTGTTAGGAACCTAAATATGATTTTTGATTATCTAGACAGTGATACCCCACTCGACATATTTTATCAACTTATTTTTTAGTTTACTTCGTCACAATATGGCGCCTAATGTTGCCCATATTGAATTTTGATTACTATTATATCTTTAGTAGCACTCCCATGATTGAGACGAATCGATTGATGTATGAATCATCAAAATCGGTCTAGGCGTTTGGTCTCTAGTGTGCCACAAAGGAACAAACATACATATATAGACTGTTAAACACATAACCCTGTCTGCGCGTCGCGCTTCGCGCTCTTGCATTGCGCAGCCGGGTAAAAAGAGAGACTGATGTTAAATTTAGTTTTAAGTTTAGAGAATGCCAGAATCGACATCATTGAGATTATTAGTAGAGAACCAGTGAAGTAACTTGGATAGTGCATTGTTTACATCATCATAATTAGTTGTACAACTTTCAATGTTCAATGTTAGTGAGCTGTCATAAGCAAACAAAATAATGTCACAATTTTTTCTACATAGTAAATCTTTAATGTAAATTGAAAAAAGAAATGGACCTAAAATTTAACACTGTGGAACGCCTATTTTCACATGAGAGCTGGCTAATTTTGTACCGCTAATATCAACTGTTTATAATAATGTACATACTTAAGTATTTCAATTAATGAAATACAGAATACCTCAGTTTTCTGGTAAATGTTTATAAAGTACCATTGTTTTCGAAAGACCATGCGGAACTCTAATAAAGAAAATTAGTTCATGCCCAGTCATTTATTAGCGCGCACGCGTATCAGATATTGTGCTTTGTATATCGACAAATGTAGGTCTCAGATAACATCTTTATCACCAAAAAACATGAAGCGTATCAACTATTATTTTGCATATAGTTCAATCAACGTAGCATCAATATCGCAAATAACCCAACGTTCTCATTCGACTTTGTACCTTTTGATATCAATGTTATCATAAATGTAAATAAATTGTATAATTTTGACAGTTCAGAGTTCCAAACCAATGCCCCAGGTGCAACAAGGTGCTTGGCAAAAAACAATTTTGTAACAAAATGTATCTACGCAGTCCCTAAATATCGTATTGGTAATATATATTTTATTACCTACCGTTTTTCTTCGCGGTGCTAATAATTTGTTTTATCTACACCCATGCTTTAAAACTGCTTTTAAAGATTCTGAAACAGTTAACTATCACAACACTAAAACATTCAATGATTATTATTTAAAAAATAACAACCAATAACCGTCCGTTTGGGTGCTATAGTGTTTTTTTAATAAATTTCATAAATCGCTTTTTAAATCCCTTCCATGCCAAAGGCTTGCTCCTCAAACTTTTTACTACTGGATGCGTGGTATTATGAATTTCAAAAGTCATTGTCATTCACGCGCATTTCACTACTTAAAAACTTTTCTTAAAATTAAGTTCTTAGAACGCTCCATACTTTCGAGATCTTTTAAAGAGGATTCATATCATGGGTGTACTTAAAACTTGTATGTAACTGTTAAAATTAGGTATTAAAACACTCATGTGATACTTCTAACACACTCGTCTTCGCCTCATGTGATAAACCCAAATTCGTAATTTAATGCCCCTCATTATACAACGGTTGCATAAATTACAATTAAAGTATATCGATGCAAAATTATGAAGATTTAAAGGTTCTGGGTCGTTCAAGCTTTTTGCATTGTATAGTTTTACTTGATAAAATGCCTGTCCATGTTAAGCCAAATTCCCATACAAAGTTGGCGTTGCCCTTTGACAGATGTAGTTTCATACATTTTATGTCAAAATTTAAACTTCAGGGTAAAGAGTTTAACTCAAGGCGGGGTTTTGAACACAGCCTTGCATATGCTAGCTGTGTACTGCTGACTTGTACAAATTGCTAAAAATACTTTAACGAATACAATCTTGAAAAATGATAATAAATAACATATTATTAGCGAACTAATAACATAAAAAAAAACAAACTTTTTGAGTATTTAGTCTTTTTTTGGAGTATATGAAATAAAACTTCCTAGTTGTTAATATTTAATTGTATTCAATCAAATTCCAATTGTCTGAACGACCCTTCAGCTCCGAACATATCTTCAGCGGTCTTGGGTTTACCAGGCCTCTTCGTCTCGTCAGATATATAGTTCAAGTCCTCTTCTAACCAATCACTGTACTCTTCTACCCTTTTCTTCCAGTGTCCTGTAAATATTTTTGCACCTATAAATTTTACAGTCAAAAAAATAAAATAAAATTTAGAAAGTTCAATCCAACCTTAAAGTTTTGCACTGATCTTAAGCACTGATCCGGACTAAATTAAGTCCTTGTAAGAAAATAAAATCTTACAACGACTTAATTTAGTCCCGATCAGTGCCAGATAAGGCATTCGTTGAGTTTAAACACAGAAAATGCTATGTAAACAAATATTGGATAACAAATCAATACTTCCGGGTACAGAATACTTTTTTGGGTTAGTTCTAAGGTGTAACCTTAGAACAACACAACAACAACAACAACAAATAACCTTGGAACCTGACAATGGCCAAAAACGGTTGTGTTGTACGTTATATGTAAAATACCTACATGTTTTATCAAAGGTTATATTGAATGGTTAATATGAATATAAATTAAGGATATTTAAAATTTATGGTTCTTCTTCTAAAAAATCAAATAATGACTTTTTTCATCTAAAGTTAATAAAGGCTGATTATATCATATGAAGTTCTCAATTTCCTAAAGAGCTTCTGAATATTTTACTTTAAATTGATGTTCAATATTACTGAAATTGATGTATCATTTTATAAGAAGAAACCAGTGCTTGAATAAGCACAAAATAACTATCCTTTACGAGATCGTCGATCAATAAAACTGTTGTTTTATTAAAAATATTTAGTGCAGTTAGCCAACATTTCTGATGAGTCGAGCTCCTATTATAGAATAATAAAATATGCCATTATTTTGTTTCTTACCAATAATAGAATTAATGGATCCCGCATTGCCACCGTATTCTTCGGGTAGTATTTCTTTGGGAATGTGTTTGTAGAGTTCTTCGTAGTTTCTATTGTGGACGTACAGCTGGATGGAATTTATTTTGTTATTAGAAAACAAGAAATAATATCATAATAATAATCGAACAGAGTATCACATTTAACAATCAGTTTCAAAGAATTATGATGATAATACGATACCAATTAAGGGGAGTTTCGTATGTGTATTACAATTCGAATGTATATACTCACTCTATTTCTATTTTTTTCATTTAATAAAGTTTTAGTGGCATTGAAGACTGTCTCGAATCCCGTAGGCGTGTTCAAATAATGCGTTCCCTTCATACGAATCGGCAAAGCGTCCTGAAATATAATAATACTGGCTTATCAAATACGCAGTTTTTCCAAGGAAAATATGATCAAATAATATGACGTATTTTTAATGACCTACATTATTTATACTCTTAACATTTTTTTATTTATAGAAAACGGTGCACTCGAAGAGTTGCCAATTAATCCAGTCACTCGCTATTCTGATGACAAACTATTTCTACTTAGGTGGTTAATTTGGTTTACAATGTAAATTCACCGCTCAACGTTTTTAAAGTAGTGTGGGCCAAGTATGAACTTTGACAGATCCGTAGTCGTGTCGCCAGTATCAAATGTTCTATGGAAGGAGCAAGTTTCTTCTTTCGTCCGGTAAGGGCGCTGCTTAGTTTCCATAGAAACTTGGACGCTGCTATACGATTACCCATCTATCAAAGTTTGTGTTTCAGGTACTGCTCCGTTTAAGGAGCTCGATGGCGCAGTAGACATCGTGTTTGGTGTACGGTCGTGGAAGTTAAACAACCTTTACATTGCTCGCAATAAAATTCGCCCAGTCATTACAATCCATACTGGGTCCGCCTGATGGGTCTTGGCCAGTTCACGCTATTTCATCCGTAGGGAAGGCCTATGCCGCAGCTGTAGGGAATACTCTGATGTTGATGATTACATTCGGCACACTGACCTGTCCAGATACGACCATCTTTTTCATTGTCAATGGGGTCATTTGGAAGAAGTGTCCCATGGTAACGTCCTCTAGATCCAGGATAGTTCTCACTCCAGCCACGACAGCATTATCATACTCTTGCAAAATTATCTGCATCAAAACTCATCTAATTAAATATATTCTTACTCACATCTTTATGTCACTTTTACTCAAACAAATAATTATTTTAATAGAATCAAACAAATAATCGCAATATTTCTGTAAGTGTATTATTACTTTCAAAATAGTCAAAGGACTTTAATAAACATTGTAAACAAGAAAACTCACTTTTGCCATAACATTGGAAACGGAAACAATATCTAGTATGTTATATTTTTCTGGATCATATTTTCCAGGCCTTATGATAACAGTCATCGGCTCGGTAGGTCCTGAATTCGGCAACACAATGTAACTTCTGGAAATGCAATTGTTTATTAGCATTAAACTGTGTATTTATTTTGAAAGGCAAAAGCTGGTAAACAAGCACTTTACTGGTGAGCGCTAACGACCATTAATAAAAAAAATCTTACACTCCTTTTATTTTAAAAGTAGTTGTGTAAAACGTGAGTGGTCACGCAACCGGTGACAAATGTAGAAACTTGAATGAAACTTGAGAATGAATAAGAAATGGTAAAGACAAATAACCAAAAATGTAATGAAATATCGTAATCTAGCAGTTTAATGCATATAATGAGATATAAACTAAACTAAAAAAATCAAACGAAATAAGCTTTACATCTTGCAATCTCTCTTACTTCTTGCAGCCTCTTTGAGTGATCATCAGATCGACGAAACACTCACAAATGCTGACCAAATTACGGTGGATGTTATGGTATTGTTGCTATCAGTGTAATGTAAGTCATTTGGGGTACTAACCATCGAGAGTGACTGTCACGTTAATGTTTCTCATCAGAAACTACGACCTTTACTTAGCTAAAGCGAAGTAAAGTTAGCCAAAGCATCTGTTTTCATTAATTTGATGTAATATTCTATGACTAAGTTAGTTCAGTAATTTTTTATAACAATCCGTTCAGCCGCTAAACCTCCCTTTATGCTAAAACAAAAGCTGTATGAATGCAATGCTTACCCCAAATCTAATATTTCATTAAACCGGGGATCTTTATGGTGTATCTTGAACAGATCCGGGGCGGTCCTACGCGTGGTATAGTACAGGTCCAGTTTCTCCTTGGATCGTTCCAAACTGAACTTGCATCCTCTGAGGAAAGCTAGTAACCACTGGTCATCTGGAAGCGAGCAAGGAAAATCAAAATTGGAATTCCTACCTAACAATACTTTTTGATAGTGTTGTAGTTCTATTGGTGAGTAAGGACTCCACGGAGTAGGGCTTGTGTTCAAGTAGGCAACGCGTTTTTTTTACATACGGGGCCAAAAAAATAAATTGTAGTCCAGTCGCAAAGTTAAAGAATGCGGCAGAAAGTGTGACTGTCCAGCCATCCTTACATTGAAACCTGAACCCAATCCCCTACTCTGTGCCGGCGCCGGTATCATCCATCACAGCTTCTTACGAAACGGGATGTGCATTACTGCAAATGTGTACTGTGAAGAATTGAACACAATGATGGAGAAGCTCGCACATCTCCAACCAGCTTTGGTCAATCATTCGGCTCCGCTGCTCCTGCACGATAATGCGCGACCTCATACTGCACAGCAGACCGTCTCCAAGTTTACAGAAGCTGAGATGGGAAGTTCTCCATCATCGACCGTTCTCACCAGACCTGGCCTCTACAGACTTCTACTTTTTCCAGAATTTGAATAACTTCTTAGCAGGGAAAATTTTCAATAACCGGGAGGCAGTCCAAAATGCCTTTGAAGAATTTGTTGCCTCCGATCCATCCCAGCCATCCAGCAGTTTTTTTTTAAAAGGCATTAATAAGCTACCGCTACTTTGGCAAAAGTGCACTGATCGCAGGGCTAATTACATTGATTAACAAATATAAAAAAGTGAGTTAATTTATTTAATGAAAACTCAGATAAAGATCTAATCGCTGTGTAGCCTAAAACTGCTGCCAAATCAAAAATCAAAATTAATGAAAGAAGCTGTTAAATTTAGCAATATTATGCAACTAATTTAAATGTTATAGAGCACATTGACATCTAGCAAAAATAAACTTTCAACTTTTTCTGGAGCTTTTATATTTTTTACAAAACTAGTGTTACTCTAAGTTCTAGGGCGACTCTGTAAAATAAAATCTTACTTCCGATTTCGGTAGCTGCCATTTTAGGCATTAGTTTGATATGCATAACGCCATTACACGGCAAAATTTCACTGTCTGTAGAAGCAGCCAGTATTAGATATTTGACATTTGTCGGAAATTCTAATAAATGAGATCGTAAGTAAAATTGTATCTTACAGAATACCTATGCTGTTCCGACGAATTTGAAAACGTTAATGACCTTTCCTGGCATTCAAATGTGGCTGCTTATCAATCCAATCCTTCAAATGATTCAAGTCGTCGGGTATTCGCTTGGGGTCCTCATTCAATTCCACTCGAGCCTTTTCCGCTAATTCAGGGCTTAAAGGACGTAAAGACATTTTAAAAAGTACTTAAGTTGATTTTCTTTTTATTAATTTCACAATATCGTATCCCGGAATACAATACGTAACTGTCGATATCAATTTACTAAATACTCAATCATTTTATTGAGAACCTATTTATCAATGATAAAATGTTATTATCAGTTTAAAGCTGTTAAATACACGAATAACAAAACTTCTATTAATCTTCAGAGCAATATTTTTACTATATACCTATACTGATTAGCCCTTTAAGCAGAATTCTTAATTTATCTGTCTGTAGTTTTTAGTTTAGATACTATTGAATTGAATATGGTTCCACAATGCTATATAGGGGTTAAGTATCAAAATAAAACGCTTTAAAATGCTCCTTAATAATACGTTTTAAAATATTTCAAAATCAACAGAAAAAGTTTCAAATGTTACCTATAGTGATTGACATACTAGAGATAGTAAAGAATGCAACAAAAAAACTTTGATGTATTCGAAGAAAACGTGTTTACAAACATCTATCCCTTAATGAGTTCAATGAAGCTGCCCTTTCGTAGCATGTGTGAATCAGCGACAATCAAACTTTATATTTTTTAATGACATTTGCAGACCTAAAGTTTCTACTGAAGATTGAAGAATTGACATCAAAAATTTATAAAAACATATAATGTTCATACCAGTGTTTTATTTATACATTTCTTTATATTTTAGTGTAAATGCAAAAGGGTCAATCGTTTTGGGAGGGCTAACATATAAGTTCTATTATCTACTTATCTTATATTTATGTTCTGTAACTTAACATCAATAGTTACATAACATGATAAAAATGACGATATGGGACGACTATAGCAAAAGAGGAATAAACAAAATAGTATATTTCATTACTAGTACGGAATGGTTGTCATTGCAAAGAGTTCCGACAAATGTCTACCCGAGCCGAAGGCGAGGGTTGACAGTCGGAACGAGTTGCAATGACGGTTCCGTACGTGTACTGAACGACTATTTTTAATACAGTTGCGAAAAAATGAAGCAATTTAATCGAATTATAAAAACACAATAAACTCAATTAACTAATCATTTATTTCTTATAAAAGTTATAATTCACATATACATTGAAATTGGTACAGTTTTTTATACTAACTGGGGAAGTTTTACGTTGCATATTTACTGTTTGAGACAAACTATTATTAATTTCGTATGATTGTTCATGTATATTTGTCATACAATGGCGTTTGCTAGTTGATGGAATTGGATCTGATGAATTATCATTATCAACGAAGGTACTCGTAAATGGACGAACGTTCTCTTCAGCATGTGAAGGAGACGGACTGGACCTTAAATTAATGGATTGTGTGATCTTTTTCCCAGTTTCTAGTTTGTTGTTTAATGAATCACCAATATAGCTTTCTGCAACTTTGTCCGATTTCCAACCACCTAGTCGCTTTAAGGACGTCAAATTGGCTCCTGAATCGGTACTTAATTCCATTATATGTAATTGAATTTCGGGGTAATTTGTAGGGGGGGTGGAGGGGGGGCTCCCCCCGACCCCCCCGCCATAAAAGATTTTTGGCGGAAATGCAGTTATTTTTTTTTTACCTAACCTAAAAATTCATTAAATCTGTTAAATGTAGTGGAATTTCAGGGGGATAGGTATTAGGGAAGACCCCTCAGAGGGAAGGGTAAATCCCCCTCCCCCCTCCCGGCGTTTTTTTACAGAAATGGTAATTATAAAAAATTAGAGGGGTTTTGAAGGTAAAACTGTACTTCCAGGGCCTAGAGATGATATTTGATTTTTTTGTAGAAAAAGTCTCTATTAACGAATTTTTCTTTCTGGCGCTTCGCCGGCCGCTGCCGCGGCACGCTCGCTTCGCTCGCTCGGCTCGCGCGTTAAGGTCACAACACTAACCTAACCTAACCTAGTGTGAAGTATCACCACACAAGCGGCTCATTAGAGTCCAAAACTCGCACTACACTCGACTCTTCAGGCGAAGGGCCAGCAGAACTCGAGGTCGAACGCTTTGAGGATGCCATGGTAGTCAGACGACGTTAATATCAACAGGAGTACGAAAAAGCTCTCAACTGCGACGAACACAAACACTGACTGACAGATCTCATTAATGGCGGTAAATTGTCACATTTTGACAATAGTACCAACATAATAAACTTATATTTACCATAGACAACGAGAAACATGTTATTTTTGCATAAAAAAATGGCAGCACTGATCAAAATTGCTGTCAAAATTGACTCATAACCTACAAAAATATTAATTTTCAATAAATTTTTTTTCGAGTTCTATTCGTTTCCGCCTAAAAAGATTTCGTGTACGTGTTTTTAATAGTTAACACTTTGCGTGACAAAAATTTCAGCTTGCAACTCAATTACATATAATGGAAAGCTGAGCCCCTGAATCTGCCAATAATGTAGCAGAGGTCCTTCTGAAGCTGTGCCCAGTATAACACTCAGCATCCGGCAGACCAAGAAACGTAGCTATTTCTTTTGGCATATTACCAAATTTGTTTATGCCGATTACTTGAGCTGTACACTTCCCTTTTTGGAAATTTTGAAAAAAACGGTCGGATTTTCCTTTTTGGGACCGCTGGTTCATATATTTTTCCACTATTGTGAGAAAATCTCCTTCAACAACAAAGCTTCGCGGTATCTTATTTTTTGTGTTTGGAATCTTAATAAGTAGCATTTCTCCATGGGCTTCAATATCTTTTAAAGTAATTTTGGCTAACTCCTCTCTGCGGCAAGCTCCAACAACGCCAAAAATCAGAGCAACCTAAAAAAAACGATTTGATTCATATAAATAATGTGTTGACTGTATTTTGCGATTTTGTAAACTGAACACTAAAGAAAAATGTAGATATGTATACTTATTAATAAATTACCTTTGTGACTAAATAACAATCATCGGGAGCTTCTTTCAAAAACCTTTCCACGTCATTCGATGTTAATATTTTCGACTTTTTACTGGTAAACCCGTCTGATTGTCGTTTTAAGAAAGAATTTAATTTTGGATATTGACTTATATCCACGTTGTTCCTTATTTTCAGCATACTTTTTATCATCGAAAACCTTGACCATAACGTAGAAGGTTTTAATTTTGCTGAGAGTTCGGAAAAGTATGCCAACATAACATTTTCTGAAAAACTATTTGCTTTTTTCTCTTCTTTCCACGCAATAAATTCATCGTATGTAGATATGTAGCGTATTTTTGACTTTTCCGGTAAAATGTTCTCCGAAGCATTTTGTGCAATTATACTGAGTTCCGGTGGAGTTAATTCAAAAAAAATTAGGTCGAAATTACTCATTTTGTGTAAAAAATGACTAAACTCGCAAAGAAAATTTCGGAAAGAGGCGCCAACCGTAGAATGTAAGCAGTTTTTTTTTCACCCATTCTGGTAGGCAAAGGGAACTGCCCATACAGCCAAGTCTTTAGTACTTAGTATTTTTTATTATAAGAAATGAAATTGAAATTTAATGATATGAAATGAACTGAAACCTTACCTAACTCATTCAATCAATTAATTAATTCTGATATTGGACAAATTAGTATAGGTAGCTTCTTTTTAAAAACAAATAAACCTATTTGCATGAATCGCAAAAACTTCTATAATTTTTTGTAGTTAAAACTTCATGGTTGTTTTTTTTAATAGAAATAATTTTGACAGTTGGGAAAGAAAACGCACGAGTTCGGGAAAGGCAAAAAAAAGCGCGAGTGTGAAATAGCCCAGATCCCGAACGCTACACGTCCCTGCAATACGCCACTTTTTGAGCAACTGTATTAAAAAAACATTTTTTAATACAGTTGTTTTGTTGCGTTTTCTTTCCCAACTGTCAAAATTATTTCTATTAAAAAAAACAACCATGAAGTTTTAACTAAAAAAAATCATAGAAGTTTTTGCGATTCATGCAAATAGGTTTATTTGTTTTTAAAAAGAAGCTACCTATACTAATTTGTCCAATATCAGAATTAATTAATTGATTGAATGAATTAGGTAAGGTTTCAGTTCATTTCATATCATTAAATTTCAATTTTATTTCTTATAATAAAAAATACTAAGTACTAAAGACTTGGCTGTATGGGCAGTTCCCTTTGCCTACCAGAATGGGTGAAAAAAAACTGCTTACATTCTACGGTTGGCGCCTTTTTCCGAAATTTTCTTTGCGAGTTTAGTTGTTTTTTACACAAAATGAGTAATTTCGACCTAATTTTTTTTGAATTAACTCCACCGGAACTCAGTATAATTGCACAAAATGCTTCGGAGAACATTTTATCGGAAAAGTCAAAAATTCGCTACATATCTACATACGATGAATTTATTGCGTGGAAAGAAGAGAAAAAAGCAAATAGTTTTTCAGAAAATGTTATGTTGGCATACTTTTCCGAACTCTCAGCAAAATTAAAACCTTCTACGTTATGGTCAAGGTTTTCGATGATAAAAAGTATGCTGAAAATAAGGAACAACGTGGATATAAGTCAATATCCAAAATTAAATTCTTTCTTAAAACGACAATCAGACGGGTTTACCAGTAAAAAGTCGAAAATATTAACATCGAATGACGTGGAAAGGTTTTTGAAAGAAGCTCCCGATGATTGTTATTTAGCCACAAAGGTAATTTATTAATAAGTATACATATCTACATTTTTCTTTAGTGTTCAGTTTACAAAATCGCAAAATACAGTCAACACATTATTTATATGAATCAAATCGTTTTTTTTAGGTTGCTCTGATTTTTGGCGTTGTTGGAGCTTGCCGCAGAGAGGAGTTAGCCAAAATTACTTTAAAAGATATTGAAGCCCATGGAGAAATGCTACTTATCAAGATTCCAAACACAAAAAATAAGATACCGCGAAGCTTTGTTGTTGAAGGAGATTTTCTCACAATAGTGAAAAAATATATGAATCAGCGGTCCCAAAAAGGAAAATCCGACTGTTTTTTTCAAAATTTCCAAAAAGGGAAGTGTACAGCTCAAGTAATCGGCATAAACAAATTTGGTAATATGCCAAAAGAAATAGCTACGTTTCTTGGTCTGCCGGATGCTGAGTGTTATACTGGGCACAGCTTCAGAAGGACCTCTGCTACATTATTGGCAGATTCAGGAGCCAATTTGACGTCCTTAAAGCGACTAGGTGGTTGGAAATCGGACAAAGTT